TTCCATCGTAAGATTTTTACAACGATTAATTTTATTAAAATAACAAGTTATTTTAAATTACCGATCAGTGTGTACAGATCACGAATTAGCACAAAAAGTTGTGCTGGTCGTTGTAAACAATCCCGAGACGAATTATGAATGCTAAGTAATGTTAATAATGCAATTCGTCATTTTTTGGTCAATCGTACAGCGTTCACTCAGACGAGGCAGCCGTCAAGCACTGGTAATGATACATTCGAACCGGTACAGGACCAGGCGGACATTAAAAAAAGTTGCAACGCATCTGCAGCGTCTACGACCACCGCCTGTTGTTAAAAACGGTCTTGACGAGACCATTATTTATTACAAAAGCGTATAATGATAATAGGATATTTTTTATTTTCCTTGGGTACGTGGTGCACGCGAATTGAACACACGCATTTTTTTGGCAAACGATGAAGCCGATTTCTGCGAAAGATTACATTTGGGACCTAAGTACCTGATTGCTTCCCGGTCATTCACCTCGCTAGTTATATTATTACAGGTTTTAAATTTAATTTGGGAATTAGGACAGTGCTGGAGGGACGAGTCGACGACCCTTCGCATCTTCACAATGCGCTTACAACACTCGTAAATCATAAATAAACCGCCCGACAATTTTTTATTGAAACAGTTAAGCAAACAATGAATTGGATCGTCTGACCTGCACTTGTTAGGAAATTGTTGTTGGCACGGAGTACTGTCGGCTTCAATTTAGCCATTAAGCTTTAAATGTAGAGTGGCTTTGACATTTATTTTTGTCAGAGAAACCGCGATACGCGACTAATGGATAGGTAGTTGGTACATTATGTATTTCGGAGTGATGACTGATGATAGTCAATTCAGGCAATAAGCCACCAGGAGTCAGTTGAATGCCCTTCAATTAGCGCCACGTGAGAGCTAGCCTTGCTGTTATACATACATATTTGCATAATGGCAGGCGGCCTCCTGATTACGCTCATAAACCTTTACTGAAAGATCATCCGTCTCTCGGAAATTATCCGATTCGCTATACCTGAGTGAAAGGAAAATTATAATAAATTCTTAATTACCTGAATTTTAATTTCGATGACTCATATTATAGGCCATGGAGTAGGTATCATTTTGCAGTAGTAGATCTGATCGCAGAGGAAGACCGAGACGAAGTTATTTGGATCAGATAAAGGAAAAAGTTAATGTCGTGTCGTATCAGGAAATCAAGGCTAAAGCGCTAAATAGAGATGATTGGCGATTACTCCACCGACAAGAGTCTAGCTCTTAAATAAGAAGAAGAAGAACAAGATCTGGTTTAGAATACACCTGTATATGTTGTAATCTGATTTGAAATGACTCCAGCTTATCATCCAAAGCAAAATCGCTGGAAAACGAAGTGATGGTAGAAGGCAACAATCCTGGTTGAAAAGTTTGGGGGAATGGTTCGGGTGCAGTGCCACCTGGCTCTTTAGAGCGGCAGCCTCTAAAGTCAGGATTGCCATGATGTTGTCTAACCTCTGATAGGAGAGGAATTCCAAGAAAAAGATGTATTCATCTAAATAATACCTTAAGAGCATTTACGCTTTACGTCCGATTCGTATCAGGGGGTCTAATCTCGATCTCCGTCTGACATCCGTCCGAAACAATTACTGCCAAATAAGCAATACTTGACCAAATGAAAAGACGCGTGATGCGAATGAAGCTTCATACTGGATACTTGTCTTTTAATTTTGTCGAATATTACTTATTTGACAGTAATTGTGTCGGAGGGAGATTGAGAGTAGCCCCCCAGTTCCAAAACCGAGAAATGACGGTCCGAAATGTCACAGGGATCATTTTATCTCTAGGTGTACAAGTACGATACTTGTATTTTCTCGGATTCTAATTGGACTGAGTTTTCTAGATTTGTGTAGTGTCGGATTCGGAACGAATACGAATCCGATGTAGCGCGCAAACGCGCGGAGTCACCAAATTTATTAACCCGGATTTTTTTTGTGCGGTCGTCGGCTACGTACGGAGTTACGGACGCCGTTGCAAATTCACACTAAGGAGATTTGTTGCCGACCTGTACGAGTCGCGTATATACGTACGACGCGACATATCGATGCGAATTGCACGTCTAGTTCGCTCTACGTTCATGGACGTAAAGCTTTTTCTGACCGGCTTAATGCGATTTTGCGTTAATAAGGGTGGTGACTCCCTTAGGGTGTGGTCAGACGGGCGTGATTTTGTGAGTTGCGTTTTTTGAATCTCGTAGTTTCTTTTTGATTAGTTTATTTTTAGTAGTTGCTTTCAAGCGTTTGTACCGGTGTTTGTGTCACAGTGTAATACCTAATGAAGTTAAAAGAAAAAGAAGCTGAGTACATCCACTCAATATGGATAGATTAAAGTGTGACCAGTTTCATATAATATATGAAAGTTTATGTGACAATCCAGATCAATTTGTAAAGTATTGGTTATGATTATTGATACAAATATCGAACACTTAGGGTCGTATTCCAGAACTCTATTCAATGCTCAAGTCAGGATTTGAGTATGATTCAAAGCACTCGAAATCATACTCAAGTCCCTGCCATTAGGGTCGTATTTCCAGTGCTTGTGTTTCCAGTGCAATCCTGACTTGAGCATTGAGTAGAGTTCTAGAATACGACCCTAAAACACTTAGAAAAAATTCCTTCGATCTGGCCAGATTCAAACCGACGTCATCTAGCAATCCATTCCAGACACTATGCCAACTAAGCCACGGAACGAACCAGCGGACCTTACGAATTTTTCTATGTGCATTTTTCTGAGTCGGCAAACTCATTTCGCGTCGTAGTGTGACACAAACAAATAAAATTCTGCTTGTTGTCACACGACGACGCAATGAATATGAAACCGAATGCAGCGTAAATTAAGCGACTCAAAAACACGACTCACAACTCAAAAAATTACACACGTTTGGTCTCACCCTTAAAATGGACTTTCTTATCTATGTTTGAGACGAGAGTCAAATTCATGACTGTAGTAAACTTTAGATATTCTAGTGCATCTTACGAGACTACCAGCAGTAGCCAGTGGGGATTATCTAGGAATTTTATCAAAGATTTTCAATGAAACTTACGGTAATAACCTAACTAAATTAATAATTCTGTTTGTTTCAAAGCGTGTAGAGAGTATCGTAGCGTGCAATCTGTGCTGTGTACGATAACGTAATCTCAAATAACCTCACTATCATGCAATGTGGCATTGCGTAGGTGAAATGATATGCAGAAGCTGTGCAGTCTGTACATTGGGAAAATGATTTTTTGCAATATAGCATGATATTACTTTGTTAAAATGATAGGAATTGATTATTTTCCATGGAAAAATTTCGCATTATTTGATGTTTTCCTTAAGTTATCAATACGCAGAAACAAGTATAAAGTAAAATAAATATAATAAACTATTATTAACACGAAGATCAAGTACTGAAAAAATCCTTCGCTCCGGCCGGATTCGAACCGATGTCTTCTAGCATACCGTGTCACACGCTATACCTTTAATGATCATAGATGGCGCTACGGCTAAAAACTCACTACGACAATACAATATGCTTTATTTCTCTCAATAAGGTTATAGTTACAATGTATGAATACATTAAAAATACAATTATTAATTACAAAAAAATTAAAATCGATCGGATCGAAGGATTTTTTCTGAGTGTTTGATCTTTGTATTAATAATTATAACAAACTAGTGGAGTAATTTCTCATAACATAATTGAATATCAATTCAATAAAAAATTTAATATAATAAATATTCGACAACATGACATACGACGATCGTAGCAATGGCCCAAAATTAAGTAAATAAAGCACTTGTGTTATGGAAATCGTAAATAACGACGGTAACACAAGCACCTAGACCGGTAACACAAACACCCAGATCGGAGACAATATAAGAAAGTCAGTTTTTCTACTTTGACCCAGCCGGGGGTGGCCTCAGAGATAGCGAAACCATGAAAAGCGGTGTGCGTGCTACTCCATCACGGAGGTCGTCAAAATAAAGTTGTAATATATTCATTAAAACATACTTTTCTTGTTACGATATTTTATTGAGTAAAAAATAAAAAATATATCAAACAACTCCATGACAACCGTTTACCAAAGAGACATATAACAGGCCTCCGCTGTAAAATCCTCAGGCGAAAACCTTAGCCTTGTATAAGTTCACCGCCTCTATGGCTGTCTGCACCATCTGGTCAACGTGTCTCTTGCAGGTTTCATCGTCATCTATCTCGACAAGGTAGTGGACGTAGCTCAATACTTAATAGCTTCGTATCTGTACTCTTTGGCCCGGTGAGAAAGTCCTTGTCTGCGAGTGTTGTGGGGCGCTCCGTATGTCATCTATTACAGTACTCCTATATCGCACATGTATAGACGTCCTCACCTCCCTTCCAAACATGAGTTCATATGGGCTTTTACCTGTGCTGGCACTGGGCGTTCTTCTCAAATGCTTATTAATTCCCACTATCTTTTCCTGTATGGTGCCCGGGTCAGCGCTCGCGGCCTGCAATGCCCTCTTGCTGCGATATTTTATTGAATAGAAAATAAAAAATATGTCAAACAACTCCATGACAACCGTTTACCAAAGAGATATATAACAAAAGTAAAAATCAAATAATTTAAAAGTAATAACAAAAAGCTTTTAAGAAATTTAATCGATGAAAGCATATTATTAACTTAACATCACGGATTACGATGATTAGTTATAATGAATACTACACCAACTTTATTTTTTGGTCGTTTTCTGTTATTTTTGTAAACAGAATTTTGTGAAAAAAAATAAAGAAACAAAAAACAAAATTCGAAAAAAACCAAAAGTATTTAGTGAAAAAAAAATACAAAAAACAAAATAAAAACAGAGCACGCCCAAAAATTAAGTTGGCGTAGTGTCCATTGGAGGTATCGATAAAGTGTAATTAGAAATAGATTTTTTTTTTCAGAACACATCCCGTCTCTTTTCAAATGGTTTTCTTTTCTTCACAGCTATAACCATTGGCATCAGGGTCATCGGACCTGCACTCGGTTTCCTTTTGGGAGCACTATGCACTAGAGTATATGTGAACCCCCTCATCGATCCTGGCTTCGACTCCAGCGATCCAAGATGGGTTGGCGCTTGGTGGCTCGGTAAGTTACTTATGTTTCGTATTGGAAAATTGTGGGCTAAATATACAGTATGTTATAATTTATTAATACGAAGACCGAACACTAACAAAAATTCCTTCGATCTAGTTGGATTCAAACCGGCGCTTATATCGTGTCTGGCGCTCCCCAACTGAGCTCCAAAATGTACCAACGGACCGTACGAATTTTTCTATGTGTTTGTTGCAGATCTTTTTTTCGTTTTTAACGACTTTTTTGCCGTAGCGCCATCTATGAGAAATCTACAATGAGAAAGTTTATCTTTGGTATCGGTATTAAAAAAATTAACATTGTAGAAAAACATCGTAATATTCAATAAACTTAATATTTTAAATAGACAGTAATCAAGGAAACTGGTAATTAACACTAGTTCAATTTCAAGAACGCATTATTAATCAAATTATCCGACAAATTTTGCGGTTCGCTGCTCTTAGCTTTGTCTTCATTAGAAAACATAACGGTTTGTTAATACAAATACAATTTTTGTAGCGAATATTTTTCCCTAATTAACCTGTCTAACAGTGTAGCGTTACGTGTGCCAGCTACAACGTAATGCAACACGCAACATTCATTATCCACAACATCCTAACCGCATTGTAAATCGGTATGCGAGTACTGCACTGCTTGGAGATGATTAATGCATTTCTTTATCAGCTTTATTGACATAACATTGTTTAAACTGCGTATAATTGTACGTGCATGTAAATTGAAGTCGCAGACAACAGTTTAATTACATGAATTTGTCAGTACGCGCTTCAGAGAAACGTTGATTGTGCAAGATAAATGCAGAAAAAAGAAACTCCGTTTTGGTTTTAAGCCATAAGTAAACGGACCGGACCGTCATATTCGAGTACACCAGCAATACTACCCTCATTGTCAATTTTGGAAACTTTCGAGATATCATATAGCTCCTAAAGTTTTATTGTCACCTAAAAAGAGGTCAGGGAAGGTGTGGAGGTCGCCCTCGCGTGCCGTAAAAATTAATATGAATAAAATAAAATAAGGTGGGGAAAATTTGATATTATTCGACGTTGACAAACGACCGATGGCGATTGACGGAGTAGCGGGCGGCGTGGCTTAACGTCAAATCGCTTTGCAGTTTTCAAGTTATAAATGTGACTTTAATAACTATAGGGCTTCAGTTCGAAACTGTAGCAAAAAAAATGTAGCAGAATCTCTGTAGTATTTCAAGAGAAATATCTCCACATAAAAATTGCACAAACTTAAATAGATTATTCTTTCAGCAGGCTTAACATGAGCCTGAAGACAAAAGTTATCTCTTATTCGAACTGTCAATTTTCTATCGAAAATCTCGTGAAAATTGACAGTTCGAAGAAGAGATAACTTTTGTCTTCGGGCTCATGCTAAGCTCACATAATTCTCTTTAGACTTTTATTTTACCTGTTTTCGGAATTTTATATGATCGAGTAAAGTATGTCCTATTGTGTAGTGAATTACCACACTCCTTAGACAATATCCGTAAGTGTATCGTGTATTTTTTATAGGACCATTATTTAATAGCAAATACGTAGACCATTTGATCTAGCAAAATACTTTTTCTCGTTGCTTCTCCTGTTACTCGCCTTAACAATAAAATTGAAACTAAACAAGAACCTATTAGTAGGGGGTTGTAGGTCTCGTTTTGCTGATTCTAGATATGTAAATAAGTGTTTAATAGCACTACTCTCAGTCGCCCTATCCATGCTTCTAACTTCTATTCCAACTCCTTCAAGGTTAGAAGCATCAATCTGTGGAATTACTGCCTGAATGGATCAGACGCGTTGAGTCTTTCAAAACTCTACTCAAAGCTCATTATCTTACACTCTAATTATTATTGTTATTTTCTCCTATTTTTACCTGTTTTAGATTTTATGTATTGTTATTATTATGTTTTATATAATCCTACTCTCATTTTGTGTAATCATATGTATTTTTTTTGTTATTTCTTTAAGTATTTTATTTATTTATTACTTTATTTTGGATATCTGTTTTAGACTATTTTTATTTATTTAATTTTTTCATTTGTGTATGTGCAATATGTGTTTTAAATACGTTTTCTGTTGCGCCTTCAATTAATTATTATTTCACAGTTTTTTCTGTAACTCGAAGGTTGCCTCGAAGAGATTAGTATGAATAAATAATTTGTATTATTTTGTATTCGTGCCAGTGCGCAATAAAGAATATTTGTGTTGTATTGTATTGTCAATTATGCTAAAAATGGCGATTACGTTAGTTATGATAAGGAGGGCAGACTAGTGCCGTATCCTATTCTATTCATTACTCCAGTTTAGCAGTTGACCATTATAATGCGACTAGCATTCCTCAACGAGCTGTCGGCTACCGTTATCGATCCCTGGCATGCAGATTTGCGCGCAAAATCTACGAAGAAAGCGCGTGCGTGACTAAAGTATCAATAGAACGCGTGTGTCGTCCTATCTACCATTTTGTAACATATTTGTATCCTGCAATTCTCTAATACTTGCTGGCTAGGGTACACTTTTCTTTGGAATCGGTTTGGAAAGAAGTGATAAGATGTCGAGGTAGAAAACTGCCACATGCGTGCTCCGACTGCCAATGTAGAATTTTGCAAATACGCAATCGTTTCTACGTATTTCCTTATTGTTCTGACATAAGTTTGCGAATGAAGTGCTGCATTTAGATGAGGTTTCAATGGATATTTCAATGGCTGTTATTATTTTCGCATCTTCGTTTTAAATTCATTTGAATTGTAGGTCGACAGATACGTATGCACATACATTGTTTCCACGTCGTTTGAGTTGAGTCGTTGTTTTTAGTTTTTCCTCTTTATAAATATTTATATTTATGTATTATTCAAAGGTGTCCGTTTATATCAGTGAAGAGTGTCCAGTGCCGATAGCGACCTGTACACCATTTTAAGTTATTATTTTATTATTATTTATATGCCTCCATGGCCGAACGGTTACCATGCCGGACTGGCACGCAGAGGTCCCAGGTTCCATTCCAGGGAGAGGAGAAATATGTGTATGGCCTACATTTATTTCTCTCGTGAGTTTGGGTGTAATTTGTGGTTGTCTATCTTTGTGTCCATGGCACCCGCGACACAGGGTTTCCCTAGTGCGGGCTGTGTTGCGTGTGTGCGTTATTAATATTATTATTACAAAATTGTTACGGCATCTCTCCTATTTATTTCCTTCATACGTTACCGTTAATACATGACTTACTATATGAGATGTGAATTTGACTTTGTGTGGAATTTCCACTGGCTTTCGCTTTTTTCCTCGGCGAGCCGGCGAGTGGTCACGGTGCGTCGGCGCACGCTTCGCGTTACATAATGTTCCTTACATCACGCGGCGTCATCACAACTAAAATAAGCGCTCTATCTACCGGTCACGGCCAAGGCTGCGCTCATTGCCGACAATTCGGTGCTCGTAATGAGGATTTAGTAGGTGGTCCGTGGACACGCGAGCATGGCGTTCACTTTTACTTTTAAACCGGTTGCGTTCTGACCTTAGTCTTCTCTTACCGGTTCTTTCCCTCAAAATGTCAAAAGGTTGGTACAAAATCTCACTCTAAACCTGGATCTCGCTAAGGTCAATTATGTATTTATTTAAAAGGATTTGATGAAGTTTCACTAGTTAGTATGTTTCTTGAGAAAACATAGGTACATAAATGATGCAGTAGTTAGTTAGTACGTACATACCTACAACGTCTAGCTAACGCCCTTGACTGCGCGTCTACCGGCCGACCTTGTACAACTAACAACGCACATTAGCGCTGTTTGGATCTATTTGATTGTTCTGTATTGCTTTTAGGGTTCTGCAGTTCCGCGTTTCTAATCGACTACAGCTGCTATACCTTTTGTTTAATACTTAAAGAGAGTATTGATTTAAATGTCTCAGTACAGAGTACTAAACAACCGACCTCAAAAGTTCGTAGAATTACATTTATTTGCCAAGTTTTATTGAAATCGGTTACCGGAAAGTTGCCAACGTTAGGGGTGGAATATTTTCTTGTTTTTAATTTAAATGGGATCATTGCTGAGGCACCCTCTTTCCAACAAGAAAAGAATCATTAAATCGGTTCACAAATTATATAGTTATCGCGTAAGAAACACACAAATAAAAAGAAAACATAGTCGAAGTGAGAACTCCTTTTTGGAAATCGGATAAAAAGAAACGTCGAGTCACGATGACGAATCGCGTGTACACAAAAGCGCAAATAAAACCGAAACACTATATATTGCGTCTTGAACGAAAATCATGTGGGACAAGAGGAACTCTAAAACGTTTCTATGATGTTATATGTGGTCCTCAATTTGAAGCATATTTTCGAGCAATTGGTCATGCTCGACAGCGCTTGACCGAGCGTGACGTATTAACTAATTCATCCTGCCAGATGAGAACAGCAAACCATAGTCCAGTATTGCACCTTTTCTCACTTCCACAGGTTATAATTGGAATATTCCACAACACATAGCTATGGCGTTTATACCTGTACGTATGACTCCTACAATATACTTGGCATCGACTTTATTTGCTCGTTAGCGAATTTTTTGCCGGTCAAAGATTTTCTTTTCTTTTGATGTTGTTGGCAAGTACAATTGAACTGTTTAAGGTATTCGTTAGGTCGGTCGTAACTCTTAGAGGCTTTTAAATAGACGTATTTGTTTTGCGGTTTACTGCTGTGATAATAGGAGTACAGAATTTGTTATGTTATAGTTTTGTGTATTGCAGAATACATACATATATTATATTCATTGCACAAACATAAGGTTAGGTAAGATAAGAACACTGTTTATTTTGAGTTTTTTTTTATATAATATCACGTGACGAGGTGTACAAGTCGTGCGCCAGATGGTAAGCTACACACCTGTCCATAATAGTTGCAGTGCTACTCAGAGCATCGCAAAGATCTGAGGGGCACTGCCACTGCGTCCGTCACCCTGAGACATAAGTTGACAAGTCCCATGTGCCTGTAATTTCACCAGCACCCTTACCCTTCTAAACTAGGAAGAACAAATAGAGTCTTATAGTCTTATAAGAATTTTGAAGCATACTAAACTTGCCTTTGTTTATCAACTTTACTTACCGAATTCTACACTTACCGAATATGTGCAAATTGTGCTAACGTTTTTTTTAACTTTTAACTTAACTTTAACCATTACTGCTTTCGTGGCCAAACGATGGTGCTGATCTGTCGGAAGAAATATTTGCATGGCCTACTTTTAGTTCTCTCGTGAGTTTGGGTGTAATTTGTGGTTGTCTATGTGTGTCCATGGCACCAGCAATATAGGGTTTCCCTAGTGCGGGGCTATAATTAGTTCAAACTCGATAGTTGAGGAATTATGTAGTCTATAGATTGGCCTGGTTACAACATCAGACCAAGATTATAATGTCATCGGATTTCTAAAGTATTACAGATTTCAATTGGACAGTGGAAGTGAAATAACTATTCATGTTGTGGCTGAGATCGCTGCTCTAACTGCGAAAAGAATCGATGATTTTTAACCGACTTCGACGCGATAACTCCGGCCGATTTTTTTTTGTGAACCGATTTTGATCGTTCTTTTTTTGTTGGAAAGAGGGTACTTCAGTATTGGTCCCATTTAAATTTGAAAAAATATTCCACCCGGCAAGCTAGGGGATGAATCCGGTTTCGCGCACTTTCCGGTAACCGATTTCAACAAAACTTGGCAAATAGATGTAATTCCACGAACTTTTGACGTCGTTTTTTTATTACCCTGTACTAAGATTATTAAATAGCTGAACAGTTGTTTATTAAATATATAATAGTTGTTTATTAATAACCATCCCGGTTAAATTAGCCTTCAAATAATAAGAAAACCTACTGCAATCATTCCAATCGTTTGGGAGCTACGGTGCTACAGGTAGATATACGTAAACGCAGACAGATAAGGCTTCAAACTTATAACTCCCCTCTTTTTGAATCGGGGTTTTAAATGATTAAAGCATATTTTATCGAGCAATTGTAGAGGTGACGTAGCAACTGATTCATCCGATGTTAAAATACATTTTCTGCATCAATTGAGCTTCTTCTTTTCCGCTACGTATTAAGTATTTGGAGGTGTCTTTACGGTGCTTCAATAAATCTCAGCATTTCTACTATAAGAATCATATTATTAACAAACTACATGATCGTTAATTTGAAAAGCAATTGACATTTCCATCCAGTTGGGGCCTGAGACAGTTACGTATTTGTGATGAGTAATGCAGACTTTAGAGTGGAAAGTTTCAAATTGATATGTCAATAGTCCAGCTTTTTTGCATTCATATATATGCACATTTAGTCGAGACAAACTTAGAGAAACTATTAAAATGTCCTAAAATTATACAGAAGTAAACAATTTACGACTTTATTGTTACATACTATGCTTTATAATCCAGTGAAGTTTCACAGTTTATGCCATAATCCGCCACGGTGACTTCACTAATCTTCGTGATTTCTATCACGATTAACGTCATCACGATATAGTAATCAGGTGAGATTGTGGCCAAGCGTGTGTCTATTACATATTAAAAAAAATCTAGTATTATAACAGGAACTATTCTTGTACTTTTCCCCTCCTGATTCCAAGTCCCACTCTCTTTTTCCGTGATCATTCAAGTATTGGGTGACTAAAAAAGGAATTTCGGAGTCGCTGATAATGTGTTCGTTGCGTTCCAGGTATGGTTTTCATAGCCGGATTCATCGTGATCCTGTCGGCGCTGATGTTCTTCTTTCCGCGACAGATCAGACAAGAACCACTGCCGCTGCCGCCCAAGAAAAACAAAGAAAAGAGCGAACCTTTTCTGAAAGGTAATTATTGATTGTCTTTACTTGGTGACTACGATGAAAGGGTCAATGGCTTTATGTGAGGTATCGAGGTACTAAAATACTGAACACAACGACACCATACCTAAAGCTGTGCAATATATCTAAATAATTTGTTGAAATAATTATACCTCACGTCCTATTTCCATGTGACAGTTTGTATAGGTTAACTTGTGGTTAGTGTACATGGCGCTACGCAGACAGTATGCAATAAAATCCCATACTAGTGCAAGATCGTAATGGTTGGCATAAGGCCTCCCACAGGCCTTCACTCAGTAGTGGGTAAAGTCGGACTGTGGATGTTGATGATGAAGATGATACAACTAGTAGCAGTAAACCTCCTTGTATAAGAGTTCGTCCAGGGAAGTACTGCCTTACTTATTCTGCCGCCCAGCAGTAATGTGAGCATTACTACGTTCAGGTTTTGAAATGTAAGGGTGCCGGTGAAATTACAAGCACATGGGACTTGTCAACTTATGTCTCAGGGTGACAGGCACAGTAGCGGTGTCCCTCACATGTTTGCGATTTAAGCTCTACTACTATAGACAGATGTTAACGTGTCCTGATGATATCAACCATCAGAAGTCTAAGTGGGACTATGCTTTTTCCAGTCACGGAGCTTATTATCTTAATAACAGCTTGTACACATTCGAAATCCTATCTAGATCTTCTAGGAAAAGGCAGATCCTTCCATACGAGATTATGAACAGTTCCTCCGTGTTCTGTAGCAGATTTTTTTTTATAATATCAACTGACGGGACGAGCAAGTCGTGTGCTTGGGGATAACCTACACGTTCGCCCATAACAGTTGCAGTGCCCCTTAGAACTTCAAATCGCAAAAATCTAAGGGGCATTGCCGCGGCGCCTGCCATCCTGAGCATCCTGAGACATAAGTTGACAAGTCCCATGTGCCTGTAATTTCACCAGCACTCTTACCCTTCAAAACCGGAATGCAGTAATGATAGTTTACTACATGGCGGCAGAAATAGATGAAGTGGGGCAGTATTTTCTTGGTCGAAATGTTTCACAAGAGCACTACTGCTTCTTTTATGAATAGCAGCTAAATGTCTCAAGGTTACGGGCGCAGTGGCAGTGTCTGTCACATCTTTATGTTTCAGAGTGTGCTATCCACGGCAGTTACATCAGATAGGCGTGTCGTTTACCACCAGGTGCACGACTTGTTCGTACCGTCGCTTGATATAATCAAACTATCACAATTCTCGTTCCAGATTTTTTCGCCACAATAAAACGCCAGGTGACAAATGACATATTAATGTGGCGAACAGCGAGCTCAGTACTACACTTGATGCCGGTCAGCGGCGTGTACAGTTTCCTGCCCAAATATCTAGAGAAGGAGTTTCGGCTGCCCACCCACGATGCCAACCTTGTCACGGGTGAGGTACTACCGGCAATATGCTGTGTTCACACTACATAGGCTTTCATTTATGAATACTTCTGGGATATGAAACTAAATTACGGTATTCGCCTTAAAGACAGATTGCCCAACAGTGTAGTAAGAGAACGTTGTGGTATGAAAGATGATCTAGTGACCAGCAGGCTAACACGACAGGGCGTGATTTGAGCGAGAGCGATATAACGCGCGAGTTTTGCTATTCTCGGATAGAGATCACGCTGTATGTCGCTCTCGCGTAAGTCGCGTCCTGTCGTGCTAGCCCTACTGGATAGAGAGGGTGACCCTCTGACCGATTAATGAATTTTCCCCCTTTCTTCGTTCATTCTTCTTTCCATTTTTAAAGAATGAATGTTTTTATGGAGTTCTTGGGTTTTCGCGATTGTTACACATAGGAAATTAAACTATTTTTCCATGATCACGGTTGAGTGACTTGTAAAGGGCCCGAAACGTTGATTTGTTTGAGAAAACAAATATACACGAATTAAATCCGGAAAAATAGTTTCATGTCATGATTTTTGTAGAAAGAATGGATGTTGGGCATTCTACCAACTAGTCTTCTACCAACATTCACTCTTTCTATATACACTATTCTTTCCAAAAGGTGAGATGGAAGTCAAACGCGCACTTATTTTTTGATAAATATAAAAGAATGAATGTTGGAAGATTGGCAGCACAAATTTATACAACGAATGTGGATGGAGAAGTAACGAGAGGTAGATTTCGGCGTACATATCTCAATCAGATTGGGGATGTCCTTAAAAAAGGCCGGGTTAAAAGTATCAAGAATAATCAGGCATGTATGAAGAGACTGATGGGAGTGGAGGAGAAAAAGGTTTGTTAGGAGGGTAGCAAGTGGAGATCCATAGCCTGTGCCTACCACGGTGCTAGACAGGCGTGGTGATATGTATGTACGTAAATGAAAGTATTTTTTCGGATCTAAACCGCGTGTGGTTGATAGTCAGGCCCTGCACTCTCGTTCTTCGTCTCACATCCGTCCGAAACAATCAAATAAGTAAAACTCAACTAAATGAAAAGACGCATGGTGCGAACGAAGCTTCATACTTTATATTGCTTTTTAATTTTGTGACCATAGATCCGAGAAAATAGTTTTATTTCTTATGTGGAGCTATTGCGAGAACCTAATAACATTGAGTTCAAAGATACTTTATGCTCATTAAGACAATTGTCACTTGCATGAGAACTTAAAAACTAATCCGTAAATTAACAATATTCCAGTCCAATACTACCATTAGATACAAACATAAGTTGAGAGTTCCACTGTTTACAAATTTACATTATTATTATATAAATTAAATCTTTATTTCAGTAGTGAATGGTCGATGATAATATTAGGGGTTAAAGTATGAAATTGCCGTTTTATTGCAATAGGTTCTTTGAATTTTCATAGAATCTTCATGGTTTGAGGTTTTCGAATGAAACTTTTTTCAAATGGTTTCTGTGATTTTTTTTTTTAAATTTGAAACATTTGAATATCTACTTTCAATTGTTTTTGTTATTCGATTTAGACAAGAAAGATGGATACTGCGAAAATTCGAGTATAAGCAATTGATTTTTAATTTTATATATTTTATTGGAAATGAAAATATAAATGTAATATTGGTTGCTTTTTTTTGCTACTAACAAAGTTATCACCGTTAAGTGCGATCTAATCTATTTAAATATGTTTATTTTTGTACGAAAGTAAAACATGATGAATTATTAAAAGTCATGGCACAAAAGTGGTTGTTTATGATGTTAGTAATATAGTCCTGAGAGGTTGTTGGTATTTTACAAACATCGAGTATATAACCAGAAATAGAGACGAAAAGTAATTTAATTTGTTTGAAACTATTCTGCCATATCATTACTGTGACAACTGCGCTCCGATTGGCCAGACCGAGTTCGAAACAATTGACCGGTGTCGTCAATTGTTTCACTTCAAAAATGCCAATTTAACTTGAGCTTTGCTATAATGGACGAAAATTGAAAAATTACACATTTAATATTCAATTATGTTTGTTTTGTAATCAGATGTTTTGCTGTTTTTTCCACACCACCGAATGGAATAGTTAGTCATAGTTACAGATATTATCTTTATTACATGCAGAATATTTTTGGAATATACGGAGACGTACACACAGGTCAGTTGCTGGCGCTGTACTATTTCAGATTTCTAATTTGTGACTTCTAATTTGGGATGGATGGATCTTATTTCGTCTCTATTTGTGGTTATATACTCGATGTTTACAAGTAACCCTGTATATACCTAACTGTATTTATATTTTACTCGAATGTTTACTCTTGATAGAGTAATTGCTCTATTAAAGATGGAAGATGTAAGCATGACTATATTTAATTTATTTGTCCCGCATTTTGTAGGCCTTGGTGGTATTCTGGTGATGGGCGTGGGCATTATCACGGCGGGCGTCGTGATCCTCAAGCTGGTGCCTACTGCGCGACAGGTAGCCGCGTGGACGGCCGCCACCGCCGCTGTTTACAGCGCTGGTCAGTATTTTTTGTTAATATTCGTATGCCGGTGGTAAACAACACTGGACAAAGATAGGAATCTCAGAGCTTTAAATCGCAAAGATCTTAGGGGCATTGTCACTGCGCCCGTCACTCTGAGACATAAGTTCACAAGTCCCATGTGCCTGTAATTTCACCAGCACCTTACCCATCAAAACCGGAACGCAGTAATACCCCATGAAGGCTGGTGAAATTACAGGCACACGAGAATGTTTCATCAGTGCCTTCAGATCGTGATTTAAAGCACTGATTGGCACTGCAACTGTTATGGACAGGCGTGTAGCTTAACACCAGGCGTACGACTTGTTCGTCCCGTTACTTAGTATCATAAAAAATAATACATTTTTTTCTCTTTATCTTAAATGTAAAAGGGTTTTTTCACACAGTGAATATGCCACCCCTATCGTTCTGCATTACATTGTTATCGTCTGCCAATACGACATTTGGCTACTAATTTATATACCGCCTTAGCCTCGTCCGATGTCGGTGAGGAAAGGATACTGTTAAAGAGACCGACATTGTCTCGTACAAGACAAAGAAACCGCGTACTGGCTCCTTTCTGCTTCGATCCGTATACATTCCGCTATCACATAGTATATTTTCCCTACGCGGTTACACTCTTCGCATTTAGGCGAATTAACGTCCTCATTAAATAGGCATTAAATAGCTGTGGCTTATGCTGAATGAAGTCCTTTTGCGTACGCCACAATCGCACAAATGACAGTACAACATTTATTGTAGTAGTTATATTTTCTATCTTGTCGGTTTGTCTTATTTTATGTTGTTTTTTGTTTTGTTGTATTTTTTGTTTTTATTTCGTTTTGCTTGCCTAAGTAATAATAATATAAATAACTCCCACACTCAACATACAATTCGATGTAGCCCCGCACTAAGGAAACCCTGTGTCGCTGGTGCTATGGACACACACATAGAAACCACAAATTACATCCAAACTCAAAATAAATGTAGGCCATACAAATATTTCTCCCGGCCCGGTATGCGAACCTGGGACCTCTACGTGGCAATCCGGCATGGTAACCGTTCGGCCACGGAGGCAGCGTAAATGTTATCATTATTTGTTTTTTGTATATATGCATTGTAATAAATCTCTATTTTATTCTAAATAACTAATACTATTTATGTGGAATATGCCCAGATCTAAAAAAATATAAATTAAGCAATACCAATGTAACGTTCCAGGCATGGTGCTATTAATGTTTATAAGCTGCCCAGAGGAAAGCTATCGACTTATAGGCGAGACAGGCCTGACGAACACTACAATCCTCGATTGCAGCGTCGACTGCCGCTGTGATCTTGCGCCTTACTCGCCTGTTTGTGGTCAGGTATGGAGATACATTTGTGAGTTGTTGCCAATATGGAGGCATTTAAATAATTAATATATTTCAGAAATTTTATTTAACGATCGTGAAAACCAGATATAGAGATACATCTGAGTTGTTGCCAATGTGAAGCCACATTAATAATTAAGGGTTAATAATAAGTAAACTCTTTTATATTGTTGGTTATGTTTGTGTTAAATGTTTTTGAATGAGATAATTTTTTTCATATTGACTTAGGCAACTTAAATTCAAGTTATATTGAGCAACATTAAAATTATTTTTTGATTAGAAACTAAAGTATGTAATGACTGAAAAACAGCTGACATGCTGACAATCGGCGCTGTGGTAAGTTACTGCAGTATAATATGCAGATATAAGTATCGTGTATGCATAACGCTATTGACGCTACAACACAAACTATACTATCTACTTTGCATCTTTGCTCTATATTTAATTGTAATTGTATGTCAAATAATTATTTGTATGTCAGTGTGGTTTTGTGTTGTTGCATTCATGCCAATAAACTTTTAGTTACGTCTACCACTAATGCAATCTATTGAAAAAAAAAAAATAGACAATACTCAATAGAGTTACATTTTAAGGTAATTTATAATTTGTATTAATTAGTAAGTGGTAATTTATAAACATAAATAACTAAACATAAATTAATTAATAGGGTATGAAGGGTTTTTCAAGAAAAGGTTTTTCAGCTGGTGCCTAAATGTTGCGTCAGATGGTTCAAGTCTGAGAGTAGCGAACAAAACTTGTCAATTTGTATTAATTTTCAACTAGACCTTAATTCAGTGCAAACTTGTCCTTAACAGGATTCATACACGTACCTAACGCCGTGCCAGGCGGGGTGTGCGAGCAGTAAGCAGCTGGACAACAGCACCTGGTTGTACTACAACTGCTCCTGCATCGACGCCAATATGCACGGGGAGAAGGCCGTACAGAAGTTAGTACTATAACACCACGTTCGTGCATTTGAAAATTAACAAATGCCTCCTAAAAGTGGTCACTAATGGTCACGTTTAGCAGCGATGCAAACGCGCGTTCGTGAAACGTTACACTTGCGATTTGTAGGCGATTGTATCGACGCAAACGCGCGACTACGTCGATACAGTCTCTTAGATGTTGAATAACTATGTACGAAAAATCTGTATAGGTTTATCATTGACTTACAAATAAATGGACGACGGGTCTAATACAAAGACCACGAAAAAAATGTCCCAAGTCGCTATTTAAACGTCCAATGTCCCTATTTAAACGTAGTGACATGTAAGGGAATATGAAAAAGCTAAAACGTTGAATTTAAATTGTAATGTCATCGCAGTACTGTCTAATTTTGCTTGCTTCGCTGTCAGTCGAACAAACGAAGACTAAAGCGTGAATGACGCTCTGTATACGATTTTATATTATATAAAGCCCTATAAAGTCGGACACTTTTTAGCGCGGACCCGACGTCCATATAATGTAAGTCAATGAGGTTTGCACATTATTTTGTTTTGTTAATTGTAAGTTTAAAAGTGAAATTAATGAATGCATTAAGTTAGTAATAGGTAAGTTAATTAAAACGTGCATCGCGTTTGTATCGTTTTGACGCATTATGTCAGAAACGCAAAATGCCAGATTCGCAAAATGCTAGATTCGCAAAATGCCAGATGTCACTGCCAGGAACAGGCCTTCCTTCTTGAATGGCGCTCGTGTAAAGGTCGCTAAACGTCTTTAGCGACTGTATCGCGTTTGCATTGCTGCCAAAAGTCGTCGTGTGTAACTTACTAACTCTAAAGACATCGTTTGCGTTTCTATTAATTTTAATTTAATTTAGCAAAGTTACCGAGTAGACAAGTATTTTTTATATTTATATTAGACAACGTCACATACGTTGCTCTGAGCGTAAGTAAGTAACTAAAACACTTGTGTTATGGAAATCGGAAACAACGACGGTACCACAAACACCCACACCCGAGACAATAGAGGCTACGGAACAATAGAGGCTACGTGACAATACAGAGGACCTTACCTATTTCTGCCGCCAAGCAGTAATGTGAGCACTGCGTTCCGGTTTAGAAGGGAAGGTTGCTGGTGAAATTACAGGCACATGTGACTTGTTAACTTATGTCTCAGGGTGACGGGCGCAGTTGTAGTGCTCCTCCGGTATTTGCGGTTTAGAGCTGTGAGTGGCACAACAACTTTTGTAAACAGGCGTGTAGCTAACCACCACCAGGCTCAAGATATGGTATTATAAAAAAAAGATGGGACGTGCGTTACCGAGACGGTTCACTCTTTTGTCCTATTGTACTCCAAAGATCATAAGACGAATGCAAATAACATTTCGCCAACTATATTGTTATGGATATTTATTTAAGACTCGCCTCTCTCATGGCCTGAAAGGTTAATTTTCAATTTTTAAACGGGAGAGGCGGTATTCCAACATGTTTAGTTATATGCTGTTAGTGTAAGTTGTAATAAATAAATAAATAAATAAATTCCTCGGCAATGATGTCGTCCGGGGTCAGAGACTTGGGTTCGACAACTGGCGAACAATACGAATAATAATAATTATTATTAATTTAGCTACTTAAAATTTAAAGGGTTGTAACCCTAACTAGCCGTGAATAGGTTGACGGCAATGAAATGGGAAACTTCCGGTCCACAAAATTTATTAAAGAAGTAAAGTTTAAAGAAAGGCTGTAACAATATAAAAGTAAATGTAAAAAAACAGGTATAACAGTATAAAACGCTCCCTACACCTTATTATTAAGGCACTTACCCCTAAATGGACCGAGAAACTGAATTACAGAAATAGATACATAAAGGCTGTCGACTTATAAATTATTACACATGATTAGCTTATTAACAGCTCCGACTGTTGTGGCGGTCGAGCTGGGAGTGACCGTGGTACGAAAACAAAATGAGAAAGTGAAGGAAGATGGAACAATTCAAATTTAAAATTTAAATACATGTAAAATAAAAAATGATAGGATACAAGCGGAGAGAGGCGATACAAAGAGGTGAGATGACGGTGTAAGGAGGTCACACCGTCACAAAATTAATTGTCTCCGTGGCCGAACGGCTATCATTTGTATGGCCTACATTTATTTCTCTCGTGAGTTTGACTGTACTTTGTGGTAGCCTATGTGTGTATCTAGGGCACCTGCGACACAGGGTCTTGGCGGCAGAAATAGGTATGGTGACAGTACTTCCCTGGACGAGGTCCTCAACAAGTACGTATACTGCTACTGAAGTATCTTTATAAAGTCGTAATTATATTTCAGCATCCAGCGCTATAACTTGTTCAATACGTCGAAGAGCCTCATCTCGGATGGGCAAGGCGTGGCATTCAGCGGCACCTGCGGGGGATCCTGTCAGCAGATCTACGTCTTCGTGGCGCTCTTCGCCGCGATCATGTTCATTCACTCCAGCGGGGAGGTCGGCGCAGTGCTGCTTATTATACGGTGCACTGACAAGCACGGTACGTTTGTTGGAATGTGGCTTTAACGATAATAAAATCGTTTGTATGTTTCACATCAATAACTCAGAGGAGTCTATACTACAGATACCTGCATACTAAAGATCGTAACTCTGAAAAATGTCAAAACCCCGTCTTATACCTAGATGGCGCTGATCAATATCCTGGAACTAGTTTATATTAAGAGCTCTCATGCCAAAAAAGTTTTGACGTTGGCTCCGCCCAAATTTGTGAAACAAATATATGCCTGAAGTTCGCGTGACATGCGACAGGAGAGGTTGAATTTTGCGCATTAAAAGTATCAAATTCGTTTTAGCGGAATAACTCTAAAACTAAAGGGATTTAAAAAAATTCATAGTGACAGTTGTCGATCATGCATAACTATAATTAATTATCTAATTTTTGTCCTAATAACCTGTAGCATTTCGAGGATAAATCGAAAAAATTTGAAAATTAGAGGTCATTTGGTGATTTTTATCTATCGAGGAAACTTTATTGTTTTATGTTTCTGATTAATATCTATGCTTGAATATATCATGTAGTTACTCATACAATATTTTATTTTTAACTTTAAAGTGGATATACATCTCTAAAATCAAATCGAAGATTAGGAATTTTTCCTCTGCTCCCTCAAATTGCCGTGGAGATAAATTAATACCTCTTTAATATGAAATACAAGTAGTCGGTTTTGTTTCTTGTAATATATTTTCAAATATTGACCATGAGCTAATAAATTATTTTCTGAACCTTTACAAATATTCGTATCAATAGATGGCATTGTGTTTTATAAATTATTACCGCGTACTAATGGGTAGGTGGCGCTACTCTTAAACAAAATAAAATGTATCCAAACGCCGTCTACTTAAATTGTTGGGTTGGTCTCATAATAACTATATCTTCCAAATGACATGCAGCTTGATTTTGATTACCTCTCCGGAAACTGCGCCTCTTCCGAGACGAGGCGCATACAATAATGCGATTGGAGACAACTGGCCGATCGGAAACTTTTGACTTTTCAAATCGGAACAATGGTTCATTTAACTCGCAAATTAGAAAGATGTAGTAGGAATCAGGTTCAAATTCTTGCTCGGAAACCCGTCTGATTTCGAGACTAACGCGATCGGTTCGATTCCTATTTGTATCAAAATCAGCATGCGGATCAGCACAAGGACTAGATCGCAAAACGACCATTTTTGCAGAAAGACTAACTTACAATGTCTTGGTAGTAAAACGCCTAGACATCGAAATTACTATATCGTTAAATAGACAACATGGTAAATAATGAAATATAATTAAAAACAAATGAAATTGCAGCGAACTAATGGCCCATTTTCGTGGGGCCAATTGACGAGCCATTCCACAAAGACAAGCTATTTAGCTAGTCTATTGCAAAGTGCCAAATTCGCAACGTCCATCTACACTACAGTCAGTATTACTATAATTTTCTTAAACATCATGGCAAACTAGTGGAGTGGTTCTGGATGCACGTTCACACAAGGTCATTACATGAGCCAATTTCATGCACGTGTGCAATAATTGCCTCAGTGGCCGAACGGTTACCATGCCGGACTCCAAAGCGGAGGTCCCAGGTTCGATTCCCGGGCTGGGAGAAATATTTGTATGGCCTACGTTTAATTCCTACATACACCACCTTTACAGGTACCATGGGACCTGTAAAGGGCTCGAAACGTCGGTTTGTTTGAAAAATAGTTTCATTTCCTATGTATAACAATCGCGAAAACCTAAGAACTCGATATGTGCGTTATTATTATTATTATTTATACAACGCCATAATGGCTCGTCAATTGGCCCTATGTAAACGGTCCTTGAGGCTAACTGTAATACTAATTAAGTTGCATCAAATTGAGTTACTGAAAAGTAAACACAGAATATACCGACAATCAAGAGCTCGTTCCAATTACGAGGGTCGAGCGGTTGGAGTCCCGCTACAACGTCAATTTTAATTCGTTTGTGGTGATAGTGCCGACCGAACATTTAACGACCTTCATGAAGGAAGTGTTCTGGCTGAAGGGTGTCATGTATCGGCGATTCTGCGGCCGGTTGCCTGACACCAGATTGCGGCACACATCGCCGACAAGTGCAATACGTGTAGATTAGTTATTTAGTTTGTTATATTGTATTGTATGTTTGTTAGTTAGTCCTTAAGGTATATATAATGTACCTTACATTTGTATAAAAAATGGGCTATGTGACCTGAAATAAATGCCTAAATAAAAAAATAAATAAATACAATAACACTAAATTTCTGAAAGAAGTACTAACTTACCGATTATGTTCTGTGTTGTCCCTCGTAATAGTATGCTTTTCTTCACTCAGTCACGTACAAATTTGTTTAATTCTCGATTCGCAGACAAAGCGATGGCTATGGGCGTGATTCAATTCGCGATAGGTGTGTTCGGCAATGTGCCGTGTCCGATTATATTCGGCGCGGCCATCGACGCGGCATGTCGACTGCGCGACATCGCCTGCAAGGATCCAGGCGGAACCTGCGCCTCTTACGACAGTGACAGTTTGCGGCACTACTTTCTGGGTGAGTAGCGATTATTACCAATACAGTGTTCTTACTAATTCTGTCTTATCTTATCGTATTATATGCGCGATGTGGAATAGATATACTTTTTATTGTTCATACGCAATGTCCCTATCTACCGACCCGAGAGATAGGGTTTTCCGGAGAGACTATGGGCTCAACCAGGGTACAGCGGTCGTTCAGACCTAGCCTTCCGCCAGTGATACGCCTTTGCTACTCGATATACGGACTCGCTGGGGTTTGTGGTTAGCTGCAGAGACGGACGTGTTTATCTGCCCCGGTTGACTATCTGTGTCATCAGCCGGGGCGTCTGTCTCGTGAGCACGCGTCTTAGTAGCGGTCTAGTTGAGGGCCTGAAGCGAGGAGACGCGCGGGGCACGTGAGTTTCCCTTTAAGTTGGAAGCTAAGTCCTGACATTGTCGCAGGACCTGCAACTGGCATCTCCGGCACTAGCCACGGGAGCTAGTAGAGGATAAGCTAGATATCCTCCGGACCCTCCAGGACCTCTTAGGTTATTGGGGACTGGAGAGACATCGTTTTTTTCGGCGTCGGGGAGTGAGTGTGCCTTACAGCTCCGCCACCAACAATGAGGAGATTTTTTATTTTTTTTTTATTGTGACTCGGCAAAATGACTGCACCGCGCCTGATGGAAAGTGCGAATACAGTCCAGAGATGAGAGTAACGGATGGAAAACACAAATATCTTCACTCCGTCACTATCATTTTGCCGGTCTGGCCAAATGCTTCTTCACACTACGTTTGAAGGACCCGATGTTATAGAGGGGAGGGAATACATGCGCCTGGAGTTGGTCCCACAATTTGATGGTTCGGCATAAAAACGAATTGCCAAACTTTTTAGTGCAGGGCGGTATTGAACTGACCGTCCATCTGTGGCAACGCAGTCCGGCACGGGTGGTCCGCTGATGGAAAGGAGAGGAAGGGATAAGGTTGAATAACTTTTCAGAGCACTCACCGTGGTACAGGCGATAGAATACGCTAAGAGACGCTATATCTCTGCAAAGCTGTAACGACTCCGCATGCTCAGTTAGATTTGGTAGTGGACTCAGAGTTGACGGCATAGCGGTGGCAACCGCTATTTGTGCAATGCGCAACGGGAAGTGAGCGTGTCTGCGGCTCCGGTACCTACCTGGAAAATAGGGAGGTACATTACGTACACCCAGGGCGGCTCACCCGAGGCACTAGCCTCTAGAAGAACCGAATGAAGTCAAGTGACAGAAGTCTGTAACAACCCTGTACAATGGCCGATCTGGGGTCAGAACCTGAACTTATAAGGTTCCTGTGCGCGCACAGGTCATAGTGCCCTTTCCGCATAACCAAGAGGTTGATAGGGAGGGGCACTATAAACAAAACTTATATGTAGAATGATATGGGACTGTTCACAGGCAAGAACAAAGAACTGCACATACACACTGCTGTATATAAACAACTTGAAACTGATGTGGGCAAAGCGGCCTTATCGCTAAGAGCGATCTCTTCCAGACAATCTTTGAAGTGGGGGAAAGCTAAACGGAAAGGGAGACGTAGTGTGCCAACGGCAAAATTTGAAATGTGTAAATAAAAAAGTTAATATGTTGCAACAAGTAGCGACTATAATTACATTTTTACTTCTCATTGGTGTTTTGTGGAAAGGGCGTAAGCGACATTTCGTAGATTTTTCATTTTAGATACTTACGCCCTGTTGTAAAATTCAATTTTGATTTTAATTAGATTTGAGTTTTAAAATTGAATTTTAATACAAGACGTAAATATTTTCAAGCAGTCGTTAAAACCTAAGCCAAGTTTCCTGAAAAAATCTACGAAATGACGCTTACACCCTTTCCAGAAAACACCGTCGATATGTAGGTATATATAGGTGTGCTACTGCGTCCGTCACTCCGAGACATAAGTTGACAATTCCCATTTCCTGTAATTTCACTAGCACCCTTACAGCTGAAATAGATAAGGTGGCAGTACTGCCCTGGACGAACTATTTGAGCTCTACTGCTACTTAAAATATGTATCATGTGTTTGGGAGTGTAGAATAGAATAGAATATCATTTATTTGCTTTAAATAAAGTAATTTTACCACCAACATTTATAATATTATAAATGTTGCTGGTAACATTAGTTTGGAGAACTTAATCATATTTAGCCTTAAATAAGAGTATGCAAATAATATAATACATTAAGAAATTGATAGAACTAAAACAAGATAAATTCATTATTTAAAGATTGCATAGATTGCATGCATATATGCATCAATTTGGGATCAACCACCTTTATATTTGAAAAAATCGTCAATCGAGTACAATAACTAGAAGCCAAGTGTGCAATTCCCTTTTAAATCTAGCCAATGGAAGGGATTTAAATCGATCCGGTATTTTGTTGCTTTTCCACACATTGCATTATAGTTACTTTGGAAACGTTTAGTCTTAGGGATTGTGACAAGTATCACTTTGTTTGCGTTTCTCAGACTTTACATCCTTCGCCAATACATTTTTTGTACAATTTAACTTTACAAATATACCAGGTTCGAGTATGTATCGACACGGACAGGGCAGGGTAATAACTCGTAGTACAACTTTGAATAATAATTATAATGCGCGACCAGGTTTGTCTGCCGGGCTGATGTTCCTGGCGTTCATAATGGACCTGCTGGTGTGGAGCAAGGCGGGCCGCATCGACATGAACCCCGGCGAGGCGCACGCCTGCGCCGCCGCACTGCCGCTGGCGCATGCGCCCGACAAGCCGCCCTCCGACACGCAGCTCTGACGCTCTGACGCCTCCAGCAGTGGCACTTCTGAGCCCCCACAGTCCGCAATAGTCGCGTGTTAATAAATATAGCTACGAGAAGCGATTGTCGAGCCTAAGCGACACGCGCTTCTGTATTTAATTATTATTGATAGCAATAATCGCCTCTATGATCATAATAATAAACACTATAGTATAAAGGTTTAGGTAATTAACAAAAAGGAAAACAAACTTCAGCTGTCACTTGGTTAACCGACCAAATGCAATATTTGGTAGAGAGTTTCATACGTCGTATTATTGCTGTACTCTTTCATTTGGTCGCATTAGATGTCATATTTTTAATGGTTGGATTTTAGGTTGTTTATCGTAGGAACGTAAACATCTTCAATTAAATATTTTATATTTGGTACTATTTTAAATAGGTAGTTCGAAATGTTGTATTGTTGTGAATTACTTTCTTGATTGTAATTTTACAATAAGTAACCAGGTAATGCCTCATAAAATACTTCATTACGGTTTGTTTACATTTAATTGATTACTTAAACCTTTGTAGTATAGAGCCATTTATAATTTGGTACACGTGACCGTCTACCTCGATTACGACGACCGGTGTTGATGTATATCGCTACTACGTAAACTGACTGAAGCGATAAAATAGAATTATTATGTTTGCATTTCTACTTGTATTTATACGTATTACATACTTTAGGTGCCTCTGCTCAATTTTATAAAGGAGAACAAAAATTTAGTCTAAGCAAAAGCAGGTACTAAATATCCAAACATAATATAAAGCATAATAATTGAAGACAGTGCATAAATATGGGAACAAATACATATGGAATATACCAAAAGGCAGAATCGATAAGTGTCGTGTAAATATACGTTTTTATATTATTGTAGTAGGGCAAGTTTACGAAATATATTTTTTGTAAAACGATGTGATGGTCAGTTAGTTGGTCGTTATATGAAAAGTGTTAAAAAACTTGGAATGGGCATTAACTAATTTTTTTTTTTAAAGCAACAGATTAGAAATAAAAGACGCTCGGTTGAATAGAATGCGCCCTCTGAGTACACAGATTCAAATTACGTGAAGTAATTATTTCAACTGTTCATGCAGGTAGCATATACATTAGGACTGAACAATGGCGGGAATTTTACAGTAAGAGTGTTACCACACTTATTCACGCGTAACCTGCTTGAGATAGAAAGAACACACTCTTATGTCTGTGCAATAGGAACGACAAAACAACGAGTCAGGATAAAAAATAGTATGTGTATTATAAATAGTATTAGATGCTAGAGATGTTATCTGATACTAAACGTATCAGATGCTAGATAAAGATGTTGTCGGGTACTAAATAATGTTAGAGATGTTATCTGATACTAGATAGTATCAGATGCTAGAGATTTTGTCTGATACTAAACAGTATCAGGTGCTAGAGATGCTTTCTGATACTAAACAGTATCAGATGCTAAAGATGTTGTCTGATACTAAACAGTATCAGGTGCTAGAGATGTTGTCTGATACTAATCAGTATCAGATGCTAGAGATGTTATCTGATACTAATTAGTATTCGTTTTTCGTTTTTATTACATGGACATAATGATTTTTTGACCGGCCCTGTATAATTGAGTGTCGATAAATGTGTTGACTCCTTACATTGTATGTTAACGTTGTGTTGTATATAAACAATAGCTAATTGCTATAGCTATAAATCAAGTTTCATATTTATGACATTCAATGAAATTTTTAATCCACTTTTACAATTGGAGTATTGAGCGTATTAACTTAATATAACGCGAATCGCTTTTAATAATTATTCATGCACGTTTGTGATATTCTTTTATATCAAAAGTATTTTCATATCTCTGTATTATCGAGTACTAAAGCAACGGACAAATTCAACTAAAATTAGTTATTTACTTTGTGTCACCGCGAAATGCTGCATCGAAATGTGTAAATAACTTTTTCTCGTCAGAATTATTACGTCTGTTCGTGCCGAAGGGATTGATACAATAAATACCAATTTGCATTCATAGTATGAATTCTAATAAGGAATTGAACAACTTTCTGGATTAAAAAAACCATAATGGATAGCTACGTCAAGAAAAATAATACTTTATTTAAATAAAGTCTTTCAAGTCTCTTAAAGTAAGTTTAAATATAATTAAAAATAAATTGCCGCGCAAACGGCGCAAAAAAGTAGAAAGAAGAAAAAGTCATTTGTAGGTAAACAAATTGCCATTTGCGAGAATTTTACGCATTAATTGACTGCAGTCCTGAATCCAAAATTTTTACAGGTTTTAGTGAAAAAGTAATTAAACGTAGAAACGACAAGGTAACACGCGAACATTGAGTCTTGTGACATTTCTTTGCTTGCCTACATATGACGTCACAAGGGTCACATGGTATGGTTTTTTTCCTGATAATTGTACGATTGCCGATTGCGATTTTATTTTAATAACAATAAATCGCGTGTGATACATGATGGTGGAGTATATCCAGCTTAATATTCGATAATTGCGATTTAAATGGCTAGTGATTAGACTTTTATATTAGTTTAGTGCATTTTTTTTACAAATTATCACTAAAAATTATATGTAAATATAATAATATAATAAATGAAATATAATCACAATTTAAATAAAGTCTACTTCGTCGATAATTTAGTTAATATTCTATTTTAATTTTTATTATTTTTCGTCGTGACGAATTTTTTATTTACGTATTTCTTTTTATATATCGTACATTGAAACAAAATACTGTCCTAACTAAAAAATGGCGGAGTTGAGAAAGCACGATATGAAAGTTCAAAAATTACGGCATGGGACTAATTTATAATCTCGTTCGTAAGTGGATAAATAATGTTTAAATAAAAATAATCCTATTTCAAATTTCAAATCGTGTTTTCTTAATTCTACCATTTTCGAGTTACGAGACTATTTGTTTTAAATATAATTCACAAACACTTAAGTTATTTCTTTTTCTTCGTCTTGTAAGGCTGGGTCGTGTGTAAAAGTTTAGAAAAAAATTTTAGGTTATGAATTATATGTTACAAATTGCCTACTTTTTTGTACGAGTGAACAATCAAATACTATTTTTTAGATCTGTGATGTATGAAACATGCTTAGTGTAAATTTTACACTACATTAGTAGTTTTAATTTACTCTAGCTATTTTATAATTTTCTACTTAAGTCTTGTTTTTATTAAGTCTTGTTTTTATTAAGCGATTTTTAATTTGAGTTTTACATGCGCTAATTGTATATCAATAATTTTGTCTACTTATAACAAAATAAGATAATTACCTCAACGTGAACTAAAGTGCATTAAAACACTGCCGTTAATATACATATAAAGAATGAAAGTACATAGTGATGGACAATATAAGCAGGAACAAATGAATTCGGTTGGGGTAAGCATTTTTATTCTTACCCCTCTCAATAAAACATTTAAGTGTTTCTTGTAAGGAATTTTATTATTTCGTGGAAACAAATTTAATTTACGTTGTTAGTTAGTATTACAATATATATTACAATAATATAAGCAGAGTTCGAAATAAAACAGAGTATATTTACCTAAACTTCAAGTAACACATATACAGTGGATAAAACCTCCCTCTGAAATACCGGAATGATTGTAGGTCGGACTAAAACACATAAGTCGAAAAATGCTTCATTTTTTAATATACATATAATTCTATATTTTTTGTGTTGTTTGTAATGTTGGAAGATGTGAAGAGATTGATAAATTTGATAAAGACGCCACTAGAATTTAAGTTACAAATCAATGAAGTAATAAATGATTTGACTTATGTGCTTCAGTCGGTAAATGTATTAATTTAAATGAATGATGTCCGCCGACCCTAGATATAGTCCTCCTTATCGATTTCGACAACAGCGACCCTTTGAGATTATTTCCTAGCTTGTGCCCTAATATGACTAGCCATACCGAATTTTGTTTTAAATGCCCGATCACAAACAGACTTTAGTCCATTTGTTTAGGTACTTAACTAAATGTAAACAATCTTGATACATCTTTTTATTGAAACACATGCTTTACAAATCAATAGGTATAAAAATAGGCATGCAATTTCATATGAAGCTAAGTATTTGTATTTTGTATTTGAAGGTAAGGGAAAATCATTTTATAAATGTATATTTCATTAAATAGACATCTCAAGATTGTTTACATTTATTTAAGTACCTAAACAGATGGACTATAATAACGTTGGCCTGCAGAGTTGAAAGTATATGTATAGGTCTTAGGTCTCTCTTTAATCATTTGACGTTTTTCGTATAATGTTTCGAATCGCTATTGTTCGAATGTTTTTACATTTTTATAGATATCAGACCGCCAAGACGACTTAAGTTAAGCGAGCCCCTCGCAACCTGATGTATCAATAGCGCAAGCGTGTAGATGTCTCTTGAGCGCATCCTTATGGCGAGATGTTGAGCACCATGCTTCCGTTTGCCTTCCGCTATCTCGGAGTAGAATACAACTTTAGGCAAACGGTACTAAAAATACTACTTCTAAAAATCTCTGTACAGAGTACCAAAAAAACTCGACCCGAGCTCAAAACTTCTTGGAATTACATCTATTTGCCAAGTTTTATTGAAATCGGTTACCGGAAAGCGGGCGAAACGGGAGTCATCCCCTTGTTTGCTACCCTTACAGGTGGAATATTTTCTTCAAATTTAAGTAGGACCGAGACTGAGATACCCTCTTTCCAACAAAAAAATTGTCATCAAAATCGGTTCGGTCCGAATTATCGCGTAACACACATACAAAAAACAAAAAAAATGCAGTCGAATTTAGAACCTCCTTTTTTGAAATTGGTTAAAAAGTAAAAGGCAAGGAAATCATAACAAAATACCAAGTTCTTAGGTTTTCGCTATTGTTACATATAGAAAAGGAAAGTATTTTTTCGGATCTTAATCGTTTATATTTGTTTTTTTAAACGTTTCGGGCCATGGCGGTTACAGGTCTCAATGTCACGGCTGACAGACAGACAGACAGCCGTGACATTGGAACTTGTGAAGGGTCTGAAACGTCCGAAAAATAGTTTCGTTGGCAATCGTTGGCAAACAAAATAATTGCAACTTTACTTACAATTACAAATTTTTTTTTTAAATAAGGTAATGTTGGCTACACAGTCATATAATAATACCGGCATTTCAGAGAGAGGTATTATCTCATCCTTTTTTTAAGTTTAATTAAATTAGGTTATACCTATCTATTCTGATTTCTGATGATAATAAAAGTTTGATTTTCTAGATATTTTTATAGGCATAATCTATTTATGACTTTGTACGAAATAGAATCTATGAGAATCTTGTACGAAATGAGAATCTTATACGTTTTGCCCATGTAGAGCTTCTTGCAATAATATTTTTAAAGTATCAAAAAACGAACAATGATTGATACAGCAAATTGTATCTAGTGAAATGATTCCTATCTCGTAACGTGACGGTGCATTATTGCGTGCAATTTTTTTTATTAGTGA